TCCCAATTAAGACCCTAAAGACCAGCCTTGCCATCTACAAAGTTTAGAATGTTCTGTAGAGCTCCAAACACTCATTTGCTCTTTGATGCTCTTATCCCAATTAAGCCACTCAAAACTTCTGAAGTTCATGAGTCATTTGCTTCAAATATCTTTAAATTAAGGATGGATTCACTTCCCTGGTAGCAAACACCCAGCAACTTAATTAAAAGAGATTCAGCATTTAAACTGCCATCATGGCTTTAAACAGAAGGAAAAGGAAGATGTCTCTCCCTGTTTCATCTGCTTCTAATTTTCTTCCACTCCAATTCTGGTATTTGGAAAGTATTTCATTGTCATAAGACTTGATTCCAAGGTTGGCTGTCCTGCATGGCTATTCAGGTCAGCTGACCATCAGGGTGCAGAAAAATGACACAAGTTTCTCCCTCGTGCTTAATGAGGGTCATACCTAAAGGACACTGAAGGCCCCCTGATGACAAGGACAAAACAACTTGGAAATCATCCTTGGAAATGCACGAGCGAATGCCAATGTAAAAATTACCAGGCAGGACTCAAGTGACATCTGAGCCATTGCATCCTTGAGCTTCTGGATATCATGAATACATGATTGATAGAACGGGGACAAATCTTGAATGACGATGTTGGATCTATAGGGCTTATGGCCCCTCCTGGGTGATGTACCTTTAAGAGACACAAACAAAAACTGCTGAGGAGAGCACCAGGTTTGTATGAGCAGACTGGAGAGTAACAGGGTTAGGTGCCAATATGTAGGGTCTGAGAACATAAAGTTCAGGAAACCTCTACAGAGCACTAACTGTATGCCAAGCAGCCATGCCCCTGGCATTCCCTCAGTGGGCATATTCAGTGACTGAAATCAGTTGGTTTGAATTCCCCATGAGCTCACTTTATGAGTTTTAAGATAAAAGCTTAGGAAATGACTTTTCATTTTTCTCCTGGGAAACTCTGTGATTTCAGATTCAGAACATGGCCAGCAAGAGAGCTGTTCATAGGAGGATGGAGCTGCACTGTGGAGAGCCCTCCTCTATTGACCTCAAGCGAACTTCTGACCCATCTGATGTTCCCCCTCTGCCAGCATTCATGATGCTGGAGCTCAACACCTCTATGAACCTCTGCCAGGTGATTTTCCATCCTAAGTGGTTCCTGCCTAGTGCTATCCACACCTCTGTACAGAGCACCAAGGTCAGGGATGAAGCCTCATGACCTCATCAAACAATTTAATCAAATGACCTCATTGAGTGAGCACTAAATGTTGGTGGCAGCAAGTCAACAAAATGATAAAAATTACCATCACCATCAACACCACCATCATGACCAACACCACCATCATTACCATCACCATGGTCGTCATCATCATCATTGCCATCATCACCATCATCATCACTACCCATCATCGTCATCATCATTGTTGCCACTGCCACCATTATAATCATGACCCATCATCATCATCATTGTTGCCACCACCACCATCATCATCATGACCCATCATTATCATCATCATTGCCACCACCACCATAATCACCATCTGCCATCATCATCATCATCATCATTGTCATCATGACATTACTATCATCACCATCATCACTACCACCATCACCACCATCAATACCATCGCTATCATCATCCTTATATTAACAACAGCAAAGACATATCAAGCAGCTACTACATATGAGGAACTGAGCACTTGGCATATGCTATCTCATTTAATCTTCACAATGTTAGGAGATGGTTAATACTATTTTCACTGAGACACAGAGAAGACAAGCAAGTTGCCCAAGTTCAACAGCTAATACTAAAGGAAGCTGAGAATTTGAAGGAAAGCAGTGAGTCTTACCTGTTAATCTAAACTGTGAGATATCCCAATTACAAGAAATCTGCAATTGATTGCTCATAGAGGGATCCATTGACAATCCCAGCAGATATTCCATGTAAAGTTAGTTCTTGAGGGATTTCATAGTGTCCTGAATTACCACCCACTTACCACTTCTGTGCCCATCAATGCCTATGCTACAAATAAACAGGAAAATGGAACATGCCCCCAACAAACATTTCTCTACAGAAGCAAAAATAAAACTCACAAATCCCAAAACCTGATTCCAAAGTTTCTTCTTAGGTCCAACTTAGCGAATATTTCATATCACTTTCTAAATTCCAAATTCCAGATTCCAGATATTCCCAGTAAGGAGGGGGAAAATCTGGGTGTGTTCAAAATGACAAGGTCTAGAGTCTCCAGCAGCTTTACCTGCCCTGGACACTGGCAACCCTCTCTGTGGAGCACTTTTGTTGGGTATAATAATGCCTGAATTGACAGAAGATTCTTAGGGCCCAAGCCCTGTATTTTTATGTTCAATGATGATTCACTGAATGCTCATAGCAACTGCTTCAGATAAATATTTCTAAACTTTGATTCTTCTGGTGTGGAAAAGGAGACCAAAAGAGAAGAGATCTTTCCTGTAGTCACACATGGAGTTGTAGTTTCAAAGCAGGTGCTGCTAACCACAGTGATGCGTGACTTCCTGGTCCACAGTTCTAGGGGCCCCAACACCGCTCCTGCTTCTTTAAATTATGTCTGAAAAATGTAAACAGTGGTCACATGCCACAAAGATTTGGGGACCCAAGTCTATATCTGAACACTGCCAAAACAAGCAGAATTCAGGGGAGGTCAGCCCTCTTCCCCTCTACTCTTTCCATCCAGGGAAGCTTAAACAGTTCAGGTTTACTTTCTCTTCAATTTCCTCCACCTGAAAGTTCCAGATAAGAAGATTATGCAGCCAGTTCTCAGAAGCCTGAGCAAATAGCTAACCTTATGTATCACTCACTAGCCAGTTCTTCCCAGTGTCTAACTCAAATTGCTCCTGCTTAGGTATAATTCACTTATGTAGTATCAGCTGGGTTGTGATAGACCCAGCTAAGGGAATCACATCAGCATTGCCTTTCTTCCCTTCGCCTTGGTTTTGAAACTGAGGACACTGTATGGCCCTAAGAAGGGCTACTGTAAACTGCTTTCCTCCCTTCCCTGCAAACTGGCATCACTTTCCAGAATCAACATTTCTCTACATTAGAAGCAAACACACTTATTTTCCCCCTTTTAAATTTGCTTTGCTAAACAAATTAATCTAGCACCAGATTATATTATGAAGAACCATAAATCTTTTCCAAGATAAGCATCTGTCGAGTTGGATTAGCAACATCCAATGTACTGTGAATTAATTTGCTAAGCCTTATAATGTTGTCCCGGGCGTTTAACTTTAGTAATAACAAATGTAATTTGGAATAAATGGGAACTTGTTTTCTCATCCATGTCTATATAGTAAGTGACGTATACAGAGAAGGTGACAGTAAATGATAGGAGCACCGAATTCCATTATGATGATGGCTTGTGAGTTTATTGAGGTAAAAATGTTTTGTAAACTGCTCACTGGTGCCTGACATACAGATGATGAACTGTGGGCCTGAATGTCTGGAGATTCCTGAAAGAGTCTATTTGAGAGGCAACCTATGCAGATCCTCCAGAACTTCCCTAGGTGTTCACACTCATTGTACCCACACCTGGGTCCAGCCCTGGCCCTTGGCATTGGTATAAAGCTCAGGTTCTGCTTTTATAGATACATTGTTCTCTGCAGGAGAGGAGCTCATAATAAAAACTACAGGTTCTCTTGTGCAGGGGAAGGAAAGATATCACAGGTGGAAGGACAAAATCAGCCTGTCCCATGAAAACCTATCAAACTACTGACCACTGCCTGCTTGCACAAGGTAAGGAAGAGCCATAGTCAGGACACAGAATCTAGTGTCCTGGTGCCAGGGACACCATGCCAAGTGCACTGCAGATGAACTCTGAAGAGCAGTTCTCTTCCTTCCCCTTGACACCAAAGAGGCTTATGTGACTCCTGTAGAGCCCAGACCCTTGCGAGTGTAGAGAAGCAAGCCACAAGGAGGCTGCATAGCACCCTTATCCCTTTGGATCTGATGCTGTAGAACTGCATCCTATTTCACAAAGATAGCAAACACTGCTGTGTTTGGCTAGGATGTGCATGCACAGACCCAAGTTATGAACTTGCAAGTCATCTAGAGCATGGAGCCACAGCCTGCTAACAGAGGCAGAGGAAGCTGGAGGCAGGGGGAATGGCAGTGGGGCTGGGGCTCTGCTCTCTCCCTAGGCCCACAATGACCCTGGAACATGCTGGTACAGGCTGCCAGTGCTGTGGTCTCCTCCTTTTGAAACAACTGGAGGTCAAAGTACAGAAGGAAAAAGAAAAGCAAAACTTCGGGAAGGAGATAGTTCAAAGCCAAGGAACTGTGATTGTCTGCATGCAGCGAGAATAACAGCAGCAGCAGAACTCAAAGTCATTTGTTCTGATCTTTGTCCTCCAAATACCCTCCTAACCTGTCCCTAAGGAAAAGAACTCTGAAACCCGAGTTGTTGTTTGCAGAGCACCGGCATTCTTCCTGTTACCAGCTTCTCCTGGTATTTAAGGCCTTTCTGAATCCAAGGTCAATCTGGCAGCTACCCAACCCTAGCCTATAGGGCCCACATCTTTGCCAGTGTTTGAAGACTTCACATAGCCCCTGAACCCTATCATGAGATGTGCCTGCATCTCACTCCCTAGGCTAATCCCAGAGATGAAGTTCTGATTCTAGATGTGTGGCTCTGTGTCCAGCATGGTTCAGCTGGTCTCTAACAGAGGCACGGTATGTACAATACCCACTTTAGGCAGACACTAAGGAGAGAAGCCCTCCCTTCTCACATCTGCCCTCCTTCTAGAGCACAGCTTGTATACATGTGCAGTTCACAGATACATGACACTCCATCTGTCCCCTAGGACTCACTCAACTCTTGGCCCTTGGTCACTGTTTTAGGCTCCACCACTGAGAAATGAAGAGAACCACAAAGTAACTTCACCTCTGGAACATCTAACACCCCTCCCAAGCCACGCCTCAAGTCCCTCACATCAACAAAACGGGAACTAGAAAGGAGATGGCCATACCTGAGCTCTCCCCCAGAATCCTTGGGGGCTTGATGTCTTTCCCATTGTTGCTGGGACTGGTGGAAGGCTCTGTTGTGCTAACCCCAATGGGGATCCTTTTCCGGGGATCCAGGGACTCAGTGAACCCCTTAGTCTGCAGAGTCATGGAGGTGGCTGCGGTGGTGGTGGTGGTAGTGGTGGCAGCCACAGTTGTCTTCCGTGTTTGTAAGATGGAGACTGTAGTAGGACCATAAATGCCCGGAAAAGTGTTGGACTCCAGGGCTTCCTCATCCCCCGTGGGCCCCCAGGCAATGAACTCCGTCTCTGTGGTGGGCCTGCCGCCTCTGAAGCGAAAGCTGCTGAAACCGCCCCCCTGCAGGTGCCGCTTCCCCCTCCTTAGGAGGCTCTGCTGTTCGGGGGCCCCACCAGCCGCTAAGGAGGATGAGGATGAGGAGGGGGCAGCCAGGGAAGGGCTGGATTTGGCAGCAGCAGGGGGTTTGGCAAGCCCACCTTTGGGCACAAGGGCGGCCACTTGCTCCCTGGGTCTGTGAGCCCGCCTGGTGCGGGTTGTCTGCATCTGCCCATGAAGCCGCTGTTCCACACGAGGCGGCCGGGGGCTCCAGGCAGGCATGGGGATCCGCGCTGGCTGTCCACTTCTGAGTCTCCACAACCGGGGGGGCCGGGGCGAGGGACGTGGCAGAAGCCGGAATTCAGGGCCCGGGCCCAGGGACTCGCAGGTGGGGAAATCCACAGCGAGCTGAAACATGGCTATAAGTATCCAAGCATGGCTTCCAAGGGCGTAGCCCGGCCAGCGGATGGACATGGAGCTGTGTGAGAAAGAGAGGAAAGTCAGTGAGCTGCGCGAGGGGGTGCCGCCAGGGCATGCTTCGCTACCCCACCACGACAACAGGACACTCTGCTGCTGTAGAAAGGGCTCATACCAACTTCAAAAGGGAAACAAAACCCTTGTTACCTCACTTCAAAGGCCAGCTCAGGTGCAGTTTATTCATCAGCATCTTAAAAAAAAACAGCACCAGTCTCATGTTTATGGAAAACTGTCTTCTCTGCACCCTCCACACCTGGGAAACTTGCAAGGCATGTGGCCACTTGATAACCAAATGGTCTATTTCAAGGAAGAAAAAACGGAGTCTTTGAAGCCTCCAGCATCAGCCCAGACCAGATGGACTTAAAGACTGCCAATACCCCCGCCTCCCTTTCTTTTGCTAATAATAATCCAAAGGCACCACTATGAGACAGGGGCAGAGAAAGCCAAGGCCTCCACCTTGGATCCCAGAGACAGGGACTTTTCTCTACATACTGCAAGTGACCCTCTTTTTCTGAGTCCAGAGAAGACAGAGGTTTGAGTGTGATTCGCCCAATCAGATAATATATGGGTATTAAGGGCATCCCTGAGAACCTGCCACCTGCCATGTACTCTGAAAACATCACCTGCTTCCCTCTGCCCCTGGTTCCCTCAGGTCCCAGCTGAGTAGACAGCATGTAAAGCAGGCTTATATGCTACAAACGGGAAACTTCTTTTTTTGGTTGCTGGATTTCACTCAGGGAAACGAGATCTGCTCTGGATGAGCTGAAAGTTTATCAACACCCAAGTGTTGGTTCTGTTAACATTTCTGCTCCCCTATTTACCTTCAGTGCAGGTGCCCTTTGAAGCCCTGTTATCTGCCTCAGCTCCAGGGAAGGCATAACCTGGTGGGTGAGTGAGGAGGCCTCTCAGCAAGGCTGAGCTGCAAAGGTGAAGTCAGGAGGCAGGAGTATCCTGGGAGTCCCCACCTGGTCCCAGCAGCGCAGCTTTGTTGCCTGGCCTGGAATTGCTTCTAGACTGGTGACCGCTCCAGAGTCACGTGAAAATCCAGAACACAGCAAAGAGCCACGTGGAAGGGCTCAGAGGGTCCACGCCTACGTTCCCTCTTCCCCCAGCATAGATAATTGAGGCCTGATTATAGGTGTCATTCAAAGTCAGTTCTTGTCACCAACCTCCCATCTGAAAGTTAAAATGAATCCTAAAATTTTAATGACTATTGCAGGTGGGGGTGGGCAAGAGTGTTCAGGTGTGCTAAGCCATCAGCCTGAAAAGCTGCTCAAAACTCAGCCTAGGAAAGCCAGTGCGATCGTTTCTCTCAGTAAGTCATTATCACTTTAAAAAGGAATGAATCAGTATGTGTGTGTGTCAAAGTGAGTCTGTGTATACACAGCTGCGAGTGTGTAAGTAGGTGTGTTGGGTGTATGTGTGTTGGAATGTGACCGTGTCTGTGAGTATACAAGTGTGCATCAGCATGAGTGTACCAGTGTGTCAGCATGCGGGAGTGAAGATGTATCGGAGTATGTTCACAACTGTGAGAGACTGAGTGTAAGCAATCACCAATGTGTCAGTGTGTGCATCTTTGTGTGTCCACATGTGTGAGGATGAGTGAAAGTGAATCTGTGTGTGTACGAGGGTATGAGTGGGTATGCAACAGTAACTATGTGTGAGTGTGTCCGTGTGTGCCCACTCCTTGTTCCACGCTAAAACCAGGTGTTTGGGTCTGACTCCCACTGATACTTGGGAAAGTGTTGGTCTCTTGGGTCATCAGGACGCTGAGAGAAACTCATGTTAATGGGTGCTAATTACCAAAAACAACTAATCCCCAAATAATAGGGCCCCAATTTTTAATCAGAATGAAAGTGCTTTGCAGCAGAAATTAGGATCCTCTCATTATGCTAATGCCTCTGCACTGGGTTTCTACCGGTGTGCGACTTCTCTGCACCAGCAGCCAAGCTTGCTGGAGGGACCCGATCCATTGTCACTACATGGAGGAATTTAAGTCAGCATGAAAGTCCTCCAAACACACACAAGGGTGGTTCCTCTGTGGTTGCATGTTATCCAGTGAGAATGGGCGATGGTTTAGAACCTCTGATTGTCCCACTACCTGCGCATCTGGAGGAGTGCCTGGACGCCAAGAAAATGAGATTCTGCTCTGAGCAGAAAAGGGACCTCACTAGGGCCTATGAGGGATCACGGAGCACCTCCAGGACTTCCTGCACCCTAACAGGCCCCATAGAGACCTACGAGGCCTCAGTGAGCACAACTAGGTACTACCAGACAGGGTGAATCAAAATCAGACAAGCAAAGCTCCCTGCCATCAATATCTGGAGAAATATTGCCCCAGGAAATTAAAGCCACAGTACTTAGGCCTGAGCTGTCCTCTCCAGCATAACTTCACATACAGGATAGTTTTGAGATTTTTCAGTCAAGGGCTGTAATTGGTTGCCATAGAAACCCCTCATTTCCAAGACACCCAGCTGTTATGCATAAAAACCAAGGGACTGCAACAATGGCAGGGAGAAGTTGATTTGTTTTTCCCTTTCAAGTTCAGTTTCTTCCTTCTTGAAGTGATTGATTTGTTCAGAGGGAAAATAAAAGGGCAGGTGATAAGCCAGACACAGGCCCCTCCCTACCCCCAGAGCACTGAGTGCTGTGGGGGGGAAAAGCCCTTCCTACAAGGAAGTTGGAGCTGCAGGGGGCCCGCCTACAAGGTCCTGGAAGCTTGGGAAACTTCCTGGTGAAAGACTGTATCTTTTTTTTTTTTTTTTGAAAGACTGTATCTTGACAAAAGGTGGATTTGGCTATACCTCAAAAGACCCTGTGAGTAGTAACAAGGGTCCCATCTCTGCATCCTTCCCACTGACTGGCTTTGTAATCAGCCAGAACCTCACCTCAGGAATATTCTGACACTGCTCAGCAGAGGGCTAGGGGCCAACATGACTCTCTTTTCATCTTTAAGAGGTTTGGGGAAAGTTCCATCCCAGGAAGACATCCACAGTACTGGCATCCACTCCCCAAGATGGCAGGAGACCCCACAGATCTGCAGGCTGGAGTCCGTGCAGCTCAGCTGCTGACCACACCATGAAACCTCAGAGTTGTGTGAGCATATGCTCATTAAAGAAGTGGCGAAGGTGTCAGCTCTCCCCAAATCCCTGGGGCATCCACAGGCCCCTTAAGAACATGCCACCCACTTAGTACCCACAAGAAGAGCTACAAGCAAAAAGATAGGCAATACCGAGTGTTGGTGAGGATATGGGGAGATGGAAGCCTCAGATGCTGTTGATGGGAGTGTAAGATGGGGCTGCCACAATGCAGCCTTAAACACAGAGTGACCATGGACCCAGCACTTCCACTCACGTATGAGCATCTGCCCACGCAAAAACCTGCACATGAACACCCACAGCAGCATCATTCACAGAAATCAGAAATGGAAGAAACCCAAGTGTTTGTCCATCAATGGAAGACTGGATAAACAAAATGTAGCATAACTACACAAGGGAATATTAGTCAGCCATATAAATGAAGGCAGTACCGATCCATGTGAATGAACTCTGAAAACATTGTATGAACTCAAAGAAACCTTGTATGGCTACACACAAGGCAACACATTGTATGACCTCATGTATAGGAAAAAGCCCAGAGTAGGCAAATCCATAGAGATAGATTCATGGTCGCCAGAAGCCAGGGAGGAAGTGACTGCTGAAGGGAGTGAGGTTTCTTGAAGGGGTGATAAAATGTTCTGGGATTGGGACCAGCAGTTAGTGTAATGGCTATGTCGCTGGACTCCCATGTAGTCAGACTGGAATTTGCATCCTGGACCCGGTGGCTTAAAACTCATGCCAGGCACGTGTGCGTGCATGCCCAAGATCCCGAGAGGAGAATGGAGGAGAAGGGATTGTGGTGTGGCCATCCCCACTCAGGGGTGATTTCTCGCTTTCTGTCTCTCTGTCTCTCTCTGGTGAGTGCATGTACCCTATAGCAAAAACCTCTCCAAAAAAAAAAGTTCTGGGATTGATTGTGGTGGTGGCAATGGCTGCAAAACTCTATGAATACACTAAAACCAATGACTTCTATACTTTTACAAGATGAGTTTTATGGGCTCAATGAAAATAAAAGGGAACATGCAAAGAAGGGGCTGTGTGCAAGGATATAGGAGTGGGATGATGTGGGGTGAATTCATTGCATAGCACCTGACCCAGGAGACTGGCACTGGTAGGTGGGAAGAAGGCCAGAGTCAACCCTCTGAGCTATAGGCACTTGGCAATGAAGGCCAGAGTCAGCCCTCTGAGCTATAGGCACTTGGCAATGAACAGGCAGCCCAGGCTTTCAGGTCTGTTCACACCATCCTTGCTGGGACTCTCGGAAGTGAACCAACCCCCTGCCCATGTGCCTGGTGACCCCCATCCACACCCTGCAGGTAGAGTCCCAGGGCAGCTCTTGCTCAGCAGTCTCCAGCCCATACTGTTGAAAAGAAGAACAAACACCCTAGCCACTCCCTGACCAACTGCTTCTAAATACTGTTCTATCTCACTTTATTTTCTAGTTTGCAGCTTCCTTGCTTCTCTTCCTTTTAAATTTTTATTGAAATCTTTTTTACCCAAGAACAGTTTAATAAGATTCAGTAAATTGAGATTCAATTCACTATCTTTTGTGTATTTTCTTCACAGAAGAAAATCACTGTCAATTAAGGGAGACAAAGACATCTCCTCTACTTAAAGTTGCATCTTTCCTGAGCTAGGAGTTTGCACATCACCTCCTGAGAGCAGCTGGCTTCTTGGTGGTGAAAAGTGGCTGGGTGGGAGCACTGAGAAAATGCAACCCAGAGGACATCCCAGATCTTCAGGAAGGAGGAGATCTCAGAGCTGTCCAACAGGTGGCTAGTCCATCCCAGCCCTGCCACAGCATCTGCTTCTGGTCTTGTCATTCCGTTGTTCTGGGAACAAGACTGATGGAGAAGCTAGCCAGAGCCTGAGCTTGCTGCTTTTGCTTTGCAAGCCCTAGCTT